CGCTTCCTCTGCCGACTATTAGGAAAATATATGATAATCCCAGTTCTGATATCAACAGCTTTGATGGAGCAAAGCGTACTTTATTTAACACCGATGACTAACAGAGTATCATTTAGCCTACCCGCCTAGAACTGTTGAAGTCCTGCGTTAAGATCGGTCGCCAATCTTATATCTGTTTTATAATTATTTAAAAATAGCCACCCCACCAACGTAATCTACGATCTCAGTAGATATGTTTTCTTCAAATCCGACGATTATTCAGAATAAAAATATAGACATTAGGAGGAAGCATACTTAAGTCGGACGCCCTACATCATCAAGAAATATTCTTCAAAGGATCCATAGTACTCCATCTAAATCAACGTGACCAATCACAGTGGTTTAAAATAATCATTACTACAGTCTGCGTTTGATAACTTGGAACGGGGGCAATTTCGACGACGAACTTTTGTCGATTTACGTATATTTTTGCAAGTCACGGTTTCCATTGGTGGCATCTTTCACACTCGCTAAAAGCGACCTTGCAAGCGACGTTTAGCAAACGAAGACGCTTGACGATGGCGGGCCATTTTCCCAATAGTTACCTCGAACGATTAGGCGAACTTCGCACGATGATCCGACAGCAAATCGCTTCCATCGTCACGACCTTCATTAAGCTGTGTATGCTCCTTGTGCACGATTCCTCGCCTATGTATAAAATATAAAAAGGACGAAATACACTACAGAAAGGACATATTTTTTAAACAATAGAAAACGGATTCGCAGTAAATAGGGATAGACACGAGGCTTTCTTTTGCCAGCATTAACGCAAACCATTCAATATAATAATAGAACCATTTGAGTAGCTATCATGTTCTTTTCAAGTGTGCTCATTATGCACAACATGCAATTGTCGAAAAAAAAATATTGACTGAATTTCCTTCAGGGAGAATGGACACCACCAAGACGTTTCACGTATGGTACTTCCGTTATTAACGCTTCAGATAGGTAGGTCTAAACAAAAAACGTTGCCCATGAGTTTGGGTTTAAGCTACCCTAATAATGTTTCTAAATATCGTAGGCAATTATTTCAGCGTTGTACCATTACAAATACAGAAAAAAGAAAAGCTAATGTCAATAAACCGGTATTTAGCGATTACGCAAAGGTCAAAATATGGGGTGAGTCGTCAGTATTCGACCTTGGATAGTTTCTCAAAGCGCACAATACGTTGGTAGTATTAGGCTAGCACGTATTAGAGTAAATCCTTCAAACCATAAATTATACGTACATATTTTAGTTGGAAAAGTTGCGAGGGATTGTGTATTTCTAATTTCTGCTTTTTTTTTTTTTATCTCGAGTCGTTAAATATACGCAGCTGTCAAGAGTGATGTGAAAAATGCATTAAATACAGTAAATTATAGTAATTACATTGATACTTGCCAGTGCGGGGGCAAAAAGGACATTTAGCTGTAAAAATCATACCATTTGTCTACATGAAACACTATACCTGTGAGCAGTGAGGAAGACGACACTTTTGTCAGTGGAAACAGGTCCTGTGGGGAACTGAATATAAACCGCGCAAGACGCTGTACATGGCTGACTCAGCTCTGTCAGTCCAGAACTTTCCCCCTTCTTAAAATAGCAGTGCGACGACGTCAAGTAGCCAATTGGTCTTAGGCGTGATTGGAAAAGCGTTTCCGAAAGACGGACACGTGCCCTCAATGGCCGAAGCAACTTTGATGATTGGATGACTAATTTCGTCAAATGACTTCACTGCAGCGACAGCTTGTCCGTGTTATCCTATTTCTTTTAGTTCCTTTGTTGTAGAACTTTACCTTCAACAGGAGGAAGATCCAAAATGTCTCAAATTGAAAATATTGGTTCCATATTGGCTGCAATTGGTTGCCCATACCAAAAGACTATTTTCAGTACATCCGTGTAAGTAATCTATATATATATATATATATAAGGCAGATCACTATATATATGATTAAATTGACTGCAACCTTTGCAAGGAATTCGTATGTATTTAAAGAAGACCTTGTATTAGCCTCTTTCCTTACATGCCTGCGTAAGCGCGTACTTTCATTTCAAAGCGGTGAATTAGATAAACACTTGTGAGTTTGAGGTACTATTTCTAGGAGAGAAGCAAAACCGTGGCTGGTATTTGAAAGGTTAGAGAAGGCTATATAGCTAAGAAGTTGACTTGGCTAAGAACTTGCGCTCCAGCGATATCGGGTGAACGCCTTCAGCATCCAATAACTCCATTGAGGCCACTTTGTCGCGTTTCGTGAGGCAGAACAAAGGAACGAAAAACTAAGACGCAAGGCAGGCGGATGAAAGTGGCTGGCGAGCAACGTGAGCTTACGCAAATAAGAGGACAGACATCTTGCCTCTGACGGAGCGTGTAGAGAGCAAGCGGAAGCAGACCGACCTAACCTAAAAATGTTGCCCTAGGCTACAATGCAACTAGCGGGAACCACCACTTATGCTCATTTCAAGTGAATATCTAGTGTATAAATGTAAAAAATAATGAATATAAAAAAATGTCATTTTCTAAAAATAAGGTGAATTATTTCGTTAAAACACTGACTCATGCAGCGTTTCTTCCTGCGGCTTATGCGCGACGATGCTGTTTATGTCCTTATGTTCTATATTTTTAGTTTTGTTTCTCTTCGACATCAGTTATGTTTTAATACGAAGTATTGGACCTCTGATATAAAAAACGAGGTGTGTCAAATGTTTATAGTTTTGTGTATGCTTAATTAAATGCTGCTGATCTGCTGGCGTTCACTATGCTAACTATGACCGTTATGCTAACTATAACCATTATGCGATCTAATGCTAAAAAACGTAGTGAGTGATCTCAATGGTACACTTCGAGCGTCCAAGAAGCGTTTTACATGGGATTTTTCTCACCGTTTCGTTTAACGAAATAGGCTAGGTGATAATATGAAAGAAATCGTTTGATTTTTCTTTGTTTGTCAAGGCGGGCTACAGTATATGAAAGAATCGACTGGAAAAATAAAGTAAATTTGATAGAAAAAACGTCAGCTGTGTCGAAGGTTGTGTGTCCGTATTGCTGTTCACCGTATTTAATTAGCCAGAGGTAGAACGTCTCATAATCTGTATGCAAATGTATGTATTTATTACGTCTGGTGTTGTTCTACTTTTCTAGGACCTGCTACTTTACGTTACTATATTTCATAGCTCTATACAAAGACCTGTTTTTCAACGTCCCTTTTTCAGCTCTTTCCACCGCCATGTAGCAATGACGAAATATGATTGAAGACCACTTTATGGATTTTTATATTGACTGCTCTGTACGAAATATTCACTTGTCTTTTCTTTTATCCTTCCGTAGATGCATGTTGTTTACCGACTAAACTGTGCTAATATATTATGACGCTAATTATTTGTTAATAAAAACGAAATGTCTTTAACATTGACAGCTATCGAATGCGTTCAGAGAGAGAGACAGTGCCAAACCCGCCTTCACTCTCGACGTTCTCATAAAGCTGCTATATCGTATACAAGGCGCTGCCCTCAATAATTTCGTTAACAGCTTGCTTCGACAAGACCGTCGACGAAGTCTATCTAGCGAAGTGTCCTATACTAGAGATTCGAGTATATCGATCAGGAATAATACTTCGGCCTATCTATACTTATGCTATGTTGTGCATGGCCATTCAGCAGATCGAAAATTCAAATCAAGCAGTATAAACTGGCGATATGTCGATGGCACATCATCAGCGAACGAGGGGTTTAAAAGCAAATGCATAGTTTCAACAAACAGATTCGTCTTTTGGAGAATCTACCGAAAATTGTTGAAAACACCTGGCAACGAAACCCACTTCGCAGCAATTCATGCAGTCAGTTTAAAATTGGAAATCAGGAGGTTAAAGTCCCCAAAATAGGCGACGAAACAATCTAGTTACGGCGGTGACGAAAGACTTTGAGCAAACAAATCATAGACAATACGCTCCCTATTCCCATGTCCCCTTATCCTTCTGTTTGCATCACGTTAGAATAGCTTTTTTATTTTGCATCTATACACGAGTCCATAACAAGCGCGAGTTTCCCAAAAGACCATTACAAATTACCAGCTGCTGTTTAGGCAGACCCTTTTATCTTGTGCTTCGTTTGGCTCATGTAAGTTACACTCGATAAGCAACACTAAACTGCACGCGTTACGGTACAATAATATTACGTAGCGTTGACGTTTCATATATAGCATCGGTTTCCGTACCTGCAAGCTACGACATGCCTATCCGCTATTCGTCCCTATATATTGTTCGCTTTCCTTTATTGATCTACTGTTATTATTGTAATAGTTCAGTCCGATTGGAAACAGTCTATTGGCTTATTTATCTGTGATTTAACATTCTATAAACGGTTCACTCAGTAATGGTACATTTTGTACCATTTGAATCTTTCATCATGTTTCTGATCTTGGATACCATTTGTTATATTTAAGGCTGCCGTAGATAGTAAACATAATTTTACTCCTTCAATTCATATCGATCACTGCTAGCATGATTTAGCCATTGAAAGTATAAATATGCCTTTTTGCCACTCGCATTTTCACCCATCGAACTGAATCTATATAGATTAATAATGCAAAGATGTTCTTCCCCATCAAACGTCTAACGGCTGGACAATGCTTAGGAAAGATGCGTTCCATTGTGATTTCCTTGCGGTGAGAGGTAGAGCCAGGTCTTTTCCTCAATTGAAAGTAGAGACAAAACTCAGCCTGAGTAGACGTATATGTTCGAACCCTCTAAGATTTTTCTTAATGTTTATATGTATTTACCGTAAAACTTTCATTCATCATCATGAGCGATATTTAACAGCTTTCGCTGTACTTAGCCAGGGACAACCGCAATAAACAGAGAAAGCACTAAGACTGTCTTGAGCTGTTTTTCTATAACTTTGTGTTGTTTAGCTATAGGTTGATACAATGTCCCCTAGAATCACACAGATTGAAAACACAATTTTGTTCGATTCTATTTATGTTTAACTCGCACAGGACTTTTCACGAGATGTCATAAGTACTTCAGGACCATGGTTTTGGTTAATGGCTGAACAGTACACTTCTATTAACAAAGATCTTGAGGTACATACGACAGTAACACGTTTCGATGCATATCACTTTGTTAAACACGGAAAGAGTTTCAAACTCATTTAGAGTATACGATGAGTTACGGCCAAACGATGCCCTAAAAATAAGAAAAAAATCATAGTTAGTCGAAAATTATTAAAAAAAAAAACATATTTACAAAATGCTTGTTCTTTTCTTATACTTCGTAGATCGCTTGGGTTTAATTTCAGATCCCTCTGCACAAATATTGTTAACAAACAGAATTAAAATCGAACGGTAGGATGCTTAGAATGCATTTACTAGTACAGCAGATTTTGAGTGCTGTCATTTCCAAGCCTTTTTGTCGCTGTGAGAGGGATAACCATTTTTGTACCAAAAAAAAAAAAAAGACGCAATGTTATTATTATTCACGTAAGTTTATTATGCATGAGGAGCGATGTCACTAGCAAGCTATTCGTAGCAAACAGGAGAAACATTTATCTTTGTCGATCCAGCAAGCTTCCAAAGCTTTTTTTACTTTTCCATACCAATCACATGTAGCACCGCTTACGCCGAAAATTTTCAGTTGACATACACCGTCCTGGCGCGCTATATCATTGAATTATTTTATAAGATTTCAAAAATAAACTTCAGAAGCGAATTGCTGAAGTTGTTATAATATATTTTGCCGAAAGGTTTCCTAGCATACAAATGCTTGCTTTGAAGACCTTTCCATTTCAAATCTCTGATCAACACGGAATTTTTATGCTGTTTGAAGACCAGGGTTAGAGTATGAACATAGACTTGCGTATTTGCCTCATTGCTCGTGCGCACCTATAGCGTTGTCACGACGTATTCTATCAATACTGTTCGTATTACCGCAACTCAGTTCAACGCCATTTTAGGTAAGAGGCACTTCGAGTCACTGTCATCGAAAACAACAACAGCAACCTATCTTCATAGACCTAACAATTTATCGAACGAGTCATAGTTGTCATCTTACGCACACTTCCCATGAATACCACAGTACAAGAACTATTATTGATGTTAACAGTGGTAGGAATAAGGATGAATATAGTTAATAATAACAAGATGTTTCCGGTCACAGAAGGAAGGAAAGGTCATTATTTGACACCACTCGATGGCCAGATATTGCCCTATAAAAAAAAAAAAAGCTGTACCAAACAGTTTTCTGTTAATGGGTCATTTTAAATTAAAATAACTAGCCACTTATACAGTGTTCCTAGAATCAATAAACGATGTGTTTTGTCTGAAAACTTGCACGGCTTGGTAAGGAACCGTTTGACGACCGTGGTCTACTAAAATCAAGATAATTAATCAAGCCTTGTTCTCCTGGCATTATTTACATGATAAATGTAATTACCTCCGTCATGGGTGGCACACTCTTGCCTTTACGTAGGCTTTGTCCTTTGATTCATAAATCATCTGCCATAACTTTGCCAGCACCGTAAACTGAAGGCCTTATCTGTCGACCCATTATACAACCACATCCTTAGGTGTCCTCCTTTGTTGTGCTGGACATTCTACACAAAGCCTTATCTCAGGCCTCAACCATATCTTACGAAAAGGACAAAATCATGTACAGTATCTTGATTTGAACCAATAAAATGCAGTTAATTTTCTAATGGTAGCTATCTGCTGATGACTAAAAGATATTTGTCATTTATTGGCATTTTATATATGTATATATACGAAGTATAAACAGGGAATGTCTAAAGTGCATAGCTGAAGTGTGTAGTGGTCTTTTTCGCTGTGGTGAAAACTGCAATTTCTTAAGCTTAACGGTTGCAGAAAGTGCCCCGATGTATGGCCATGTGCATCAGCAACTGCGACATCGATAACCGAGGCGGAAATCTCCACTGAAGAAAGTAGAACAACGGCTCGACGCAAGACCCCGTTACCGTAACCTTGGACAACTGTCAATCAGGTCGACTGTTAACAAATCAATCACCGCGTGTGGATTGGCAACAACGAGCGAGCTGAAAGCGTGGACGGTGCCAATACGTGTGCATTGTCACTACTGCTGAAAATATAAGCGAATAAACATTAATAAAACTGTGCTATAGTGACGACAAGTGACCGTTATAAGGCAATTCGACATTAATAAACGATCAGCGAAGGCACTGATAGCGGGTACCAGTACGCTGTCACTAGGGTCAGTAAAGTGAATATAGGCTATACATCATTGCTATAATCAGGTGGAACGAATTTCACTGAAAAAAAAAGAACTGAGATAGCCACTAAATACTTGCAGGTAACTTTTGCGTAGTTACAGGTCTACCGTTGTCCGTCCCTATTGCCGTGTACGGACCATATAGCAATAGTAAATAATAGGCGGTAGATCTACTAATGCGCGATTGCAATTTACCACTGCAATAGGGCAAAGAAAAATCTGCAACGTAAAGGTGACCTATTGTCCACATAGACACAGAGAGATACTGCTGGATCGATGCGTTGTTCTTCACTGAAATCCGTGCAGTCACCCATATTTGGCCTAAATAGCTTTGCGAAAGCCACCAATGGTACAAATCAGGCCGGCGTCCTCTCGGGGTATACCAATGGGTTATTAGTTCAGGCCGATATATTTTCTAAGATGGCGTACGTTGAACAAAATTCGTATTTAAACAACAGCTTTCGTGGTGTTTGGACACCGTTTTCTGATGACATCACCCATAGGAAGAGTGCAGTAGTTCTCTCTCTGCACCTAATAGAGCCTTCTACAAAACTTGTATCTATACCTCAACGTTGTTAGTGTTCAATGAATTTTTGGTGCATTTTAATCCTCTATTATTCCTTCCTCATCAATCCTTAGTCGAAAACATAGTTATTATTCAGTTCTGGTGTATAGCATGGTCAAGTCTGGTCTACATTGAGCGCCTCCTTACATTGGAGCTCTGACACAGTGATTGCGTATAGAAATATTTTGGACATAGACGGTGCAGTTCAAGCTATTTCAATCGTATTTACATGATGATCCTGTGGTAACGTGTTCGCCTAATGAACTAAAAGCATAAGAGAAGCAAGGCTTAGTAGCCGAATGTGCTCCACCAACATTCTTTCACCTAATGTCAGTTACTCCTGGAAAGTTCTTTCAAGTAACTAGCAGACTTAAAAACCTTCAGATCGAAGTCTGTATCGAGCATTTGCTAGGCAGACGAGTCCATCTAATCATTATAGCAGTGTCAACGAACTGTTGCTGAATGCAGGTCGTGTTTGCCTAGCGCGAACGAAGTTGAACCGTTTCATTTTTTCAGTGTGGGTCTTTTGAGACAATTGTGATCAGGCTTAACTAGCAGCCACTGCCTCACAGCTCACAACGAGCTTGAACCATAATTCAATATGAAAGAAGACATAAGCCGGGATAGATTATAGAATCAAACTAGAAAACTGTGCCCGTAAACCATAACACATACGCTGCTAAATAAGAACAACATCGATAGACGGTCGATTCGAAGAATCACCGACGCGATTAAAATCCATGTTCACTACTTTCAGATCTAACGATAGGACATAACAGGACAAAAATCTCTTACGACTGTTTAAGTAATGATTGCTGAGTATATGCGGCATGGAAAGCAATTTATCGCATATAGCTAGATGCCATCCCTGTATCGTGTTCCTATACATTTGAAATATAATTCTAGACGACACACATTTCCTGGGATTCAAGTTAACAATACACGATGCGATAATGAGAGAGCGAAACCAGTCAATACAAGTTACTGTGCAGTTCCGGGGCGGAATTATCCTGGAGGAGTATCCTGGTGAGGAGAGAATCGGCACCTCTATGAGGGTCTTATACGGGGCAGAAACCAGCACAAACAAACCGGGACTGGTTCAGATACTATCAAAATATACTATAGTAGTAAAGTTGCTTCGTTTTATTAGAAACTTAACAGTAGATATCTATGATTATAGATACCTATCGCATAGTGCCGCTTGTGGCTGGCATCGTTGGATACGTTCAGTAACCATTCATAAAATATTAACGTTTACGTTTCTGCCAGGTTTCGAACGTGCAGTTTCTGTCTCGTAGTTACTACTGCATAGAATAACGGGCGATATATTCATACAGGGTCTTCCAGCGTGCACAGCATGGTGGTTATTCATTGAGCCTTTCACACTAATCTCATCTAGCAATTATGTGGTATCATATATGTTTATCCTGTCTATATACATTGAAAAGCTGATAAAATTCCTTTAATCGACACGGCATACGCGCCGTCTCGCATCGCCAATCGCATAAACAGACGATGAGCTGTCCTAAATAAAAAAAAAAAAAAAAAAAGGACAAAACATTTCTACGTAACAATAACTGCATACAAATTAGGCTTCAATCCATTACCTTCAACACCGAGCTGAATACCGTATGGGAGCAGAGTCGTAACTGTTGAGATCATACGATGTTTGGTCGTGCGTATTTATGCACTCTAAAAATGACCATGGTCGTCGTCAACGCAGTCGCCGTTCAAGTCGCAATAATTCGTGAAACGTAACATCACACAGTTGGTGGAACCGTTGTAGTCTACCATCCGTAACGCTGATGACTGTAATTTGGAACAGGCTGAAATTTCTTCTTGCCCCTTCGTGTGGCTTCACGCCCCTCCATTCCAATCCTGCCGTCTAACTTCCACTTTCTTCGTAATAACACATCGCCATTCCGCTGCTGGGTCCTTTTTAGGTGGCTGCCAGTGCCTTTGCTACTGTTTGAGCAGCGCAACGGTGTACAACGTTCGAGAAACGACGGACAAACTGCAAACGCATAGTCAGAAAAAAGGTGAAGCAATAGGAGAAAGCTCTAACGTTTTCATGGAGAAAAAGCTGGCCTGCTGCATGAAAAATAGTCTGATGGTGATCCTGACCAAGCTGGTGATGATGAGGATATAATTATAATAACGAAGGTTATCCATTCATTTTAGCTTAGTATAGACTGAAATACGTAATAAGCTATATTTTCTAGTTAATATGATTCTATGCATGTTTAATGTATTTAAGGATTTGACAGGGTAACCTATAATACTAAAAATATATAAGTAATATTACAAAGAACAAGGACACGTTTCTGACTACAGTGCTCACGACAGAATAAACCTCTTCTTGGTGGGGTGTAATACGAGTGTCGCGTATTTGTAGCCTATAAAAATGACGGAAGTTGTAATCGTTTTTCCTTGCAATGGGCATTAGCACTTTGTGCTGCAAGTCGATTTGTTCAAGATAACGTGTCCGGATCCGTATACGTTTCTTGAGCCTTAACAAATTATCTATCCATTACAACTAATGCATGACACCCTGGATGACACACTTCTGGAACACTAAAAAAGATCAACGAAACAACAGTATTGTTCTTCTTTTATGTGTTTGCCCTTCAGAAAATTGTTCAATGATCACAAAGAGCTGCGAAAATGAATATTAACTTATTGGTATATATTGGCAAGTGTAATGCACGCGTTCGGTGTATCCCTTTATGGGCTGCCTGAAAGTACAAAACTTTTCTAAATGTATGCCCTGGTAAGGTTACTATACTCTCTTCATCGGATATAGTGCAGACAAAACAGTAATCAAATAAGACAGTCGAATCGGGTTAGTTAGCCACCCAGCCTATTGAACGTTACTCCTTCCACGAATCATCAGATGTGCCACCAGGGTCATCGCGGAAGGTTTCTAGGAACAAAATCTCTCATCATTATACTTCCTTTGCTGCCCGCTCTTCCAAGGGCCGTCACTCCCGTACTATTCCTATAGGCTACAATGAGCGTGGCTATACAGAGAGGCAGCAAGACAACGTCACCTGGTGTAGGAACTCAAGTGCCAAGTGGAGCGGGATCCCTTATTCGCCTCGCGTCGCGCCCCCGTCCTCTTGTGCTCTCTCGATCTCGATCTTTCTGTATTTCCCTCTTACAATTATGGTCGTTTTGGCAATCTAGCACTTCCCAGTGGATTGTGCGTTCAGATTGAGTCCGTTGAGCTTCTGGCAACTGTTTCTCATCAGGCGGTTCTTGTCGGAATCCGTAGGAACACGTCAGACTATGCGACGGATCTCTTAGCTGGATGGATGTGCGACCGAAATAATTTTTGTGCTCCACAGTGCACGCAAGTGTCGACTTGATTACTGTTGCTGGAGCAGCGTTCGAGCCGAAACTTGCAGCCCAATCAGGCCAAGCGACAGAGCCCCCAGTCAGGAAAGCAGTCAGGGCAAATTGCCCGCCGCCCATATCGGAAGCCGATATATACGAGACAGCCGCAAGAGCTACATTACTACCAGCTTTAACGAGCCAAGCGAACGGGAGCTACCGGTCCACAAGGAGCACGCTGTATTGCCACACGAGCGACTTAAGCTTGATCCAGAGATTGAGTCTCAGCCCTTTAGATTCTATTCTGAGACCCTTGTCGAGCCAATAATATATGTGCTGGTAAGCTCTGTGTGCTTGTGTATGTATATGCTAACAGTTTCCTCAGAGGTGCAGTTACCCCCCAACCCCTATGGTGGCATGTCCTTCGTGATACTCATACGCACTTGGATGAGAGAAGTTCTAGCTACGATTTGGTTATCCGTGGAAAGCGTATGTTCTGCCCGTAAACTTGTACGTCACTCCATCCCGAGCATAGGATCGTGCACTGGACAGAGGTAACTTGAAAGAGTTACGTCGAATTCAATGCTATCGTAGTGAAAAAAGGCTCCATAGCCACCTCTTCGCATAGTATATACGACGTTAACCAATAAATCAGTCCTATAATCGGCCTACTTTTAAACCACTTCTCCTCAGTGGTTTCAGTATTAAGTATAATCTTTCATAAACGGTGGGCAAAGGATTATCTCGTCAAGAAACAAAATTGTAGAACGAAGAAGATACTCTGGATGCAATTCATACATTTTTCTTTAATGATACTGCGTGCAATTAATGCGCTCGTACAAAAAGTACGCAAGATCATAATTTTGAAAAAAAACGTACTATTATTATGAATTAATTGTCCTATGGATTATTTTTAGACTATTATCATTTATCAAATCAATGATGAGGCAAATGAAGCACAACATAAATATTTGCCTGTACAACACAATAGGGAACAACTGAATGATTAACGATATATCTCCTATCAAATCAGCCTGATACTGTGTTTGTATCACTAATTTATAAACCAGCCACTAACTAAATTTGGAAAGTAAGCCGCACTTTTTGTGGGAAGAGAAGTTTCTTCAAAAGACGTGTTTACCACGGGGGCTACGCCATCCCGATTGGCCTCATTACCCGTGAAGTGCGCTATTGGAAACAGCATGATACATTATGGGTGTTATTTGTGTATCTAATGTTCGCAATAAGCGAGTCACGTCTCAATGAGAAAATTTGGTATCAAGCTTTATCAGGAGGAGGTACAACTGAGAGGTAGGCGAAGGAAACTTCAAAATAAATAATGTGACCCCGAAAGTTACTCACATACAGTTGCCGACAAAAAGAAATGACAGCCGAAAATGTCCTGGGGCTTATATCGGCTGACACTACTATAACATGTAATCTTCCTCCATTGACCTTATTTTGGGGCTAACAAGCTAAAGCTGTACGATCTACGATTCGCCGTTTTCACAAAGCTACTACTGAGAATATAATGCTACGGTTCCCAAATTTGAGATAAATTAACATTAATTTAGGGAAATTTGGGAACATTTCATAAATTGTAGTCTTCGATATACAGAACGTGGAATTCGTAAAAAGCCAAAAAGATGGTATTTGGCTTGAGATGGCCCAAGAGAGAGACTTGAGATGGCTATACTTGCTACAAAATTTCAAGAGACATTCAGACGTACGGATTTAATGTTCGGGATAAATTCTGCTCTTTATATTGGCCTTTTTGTATTTTCGATTCATTTCTAATTATGCTGAGACTGCACATAAGAGATAATCACTAGTATTCTATATCGACACTGTATATCGAGGTAGGTTCAATGAGCCGCGCTTCGTAAAACATTCTCAAGAGAGATCAAGGCTCCGACGGGTCTTCCACGTCAATGGACCTTCGATGATTTACGATGCTGCGGTAATGAGTTACATAGGTTGCATACATCCATAGATGTTACATTATAGTATAATGGTAAGTCTGCAAGCTAATTTATAGTCAGTTTGTAGCGACTCATTAGCCAGCTAACGAACTGGGTCTACCAGCTTTGGCCCGACACATGCAGTCGCTAAAAATGTTCATTTACATCATAAAGTTTCTCAAAACCTCAAAAATCGCCCGGTTTGTAACAGGCGGTCGTGTAAATATTGCGCCTTGTGCCATCACATGTCTACAATTTAGGTCAGCAGATTATCATTGTCCGAAAGGAAAAACACTGCTTGGCCTTGATTTATGATCAGAGTCACGAAACAACGAGGAAAGCGCACTTATCCTACGCGAATGTGGCTGTCTGCCCTATTGAGCACTGACGCGTGAGTAGATAAAATGTATTTTCTTCTATGAAAAACAAAAACATGTATCTGTTACAGTGGATTTTCTAATCGATCTGAAAAATCATTGTACTAATCTACGGTGAAGTAAAATCAAGGCGATGTATATTCTGAGAGCCGACAAATACGCAGGAGTAATTCGTTTCGACCTATGGACGCTTTATAGTCAGTATTCAGCTTCTGAACTCGATGCCCGGCTGGTTAAACTAAGTCAATGGCTGTTTAGCTAGGTACCATTCCTACCTAGACAGATTTTAACACCTAAGAAAGATCCGTCGTTATTCGAAAATCAAAGAGAGAAATCTAATTCTCCGACTTGGCCACAAAAAAAATTCACACTTTTGTAATATCTAATTGATTTTTTGTGCTAGAACTTGTAGTGAATTTGAGCTAAGCCTAAGCCCCACCGTCGTAGTTTCCGCGGCAGTAACATACAGCATAACTGATTTAGGTCTTTTTCCTACCCTCACCCATGTTCGTTTTTCTCATTTATATATTCCTACGATATTTTATTATATTGCCAAGAGCGGCATTAAAAGGATTCAGAACACATACGTGTAACTTTAAGTTACACGTATGTGTTCTGAATTTAAAAAAAAAAGTTAATTTACACTCACTTGCGCGGAAACCAGTGATCGTAACTCAGTCTTTGAGAATCGCGTTGCAGTTTATAATGCCATCGCAGAAGTTGATGAATTCTGTGATCAACAGCTAACGTGACAACTATTCAATAACATTTCTACAGGTAATCTTCTAACATCCCCCTACAAAATGCTGTATTGGTCTACATTGTAAAAGTAGACGACACGCGCAAAGGAATCAACAGTAGAGCGGCTGCGCATCGTAGCTGCTGTTGGAGCTGATTTCAGCGTAGTTCCTTGTGTCGTATAAACACCTAGCAACAACTTACATATCCCTCGTATTTACACGGAATAAAGATAAAAACGCTTCCTTGTATTGCATTGCCACAAACTTGTATTGTTTGTCAAACGCAAACCGAAATCTATGCGTCACTAGATGTTTGATACCGTTGAACACGCTGGTGTCCTTATTGCTGAAACTAACACATTTCCGTTGTTCTAATAACATTGCTGAAGTTTCGTAGTGGTCCAGATAAAGGCATACAATACAGTTGACTGCATAAAACTCTGCCGTATAAGCTTTTGTTTACAATCTCCACGGAACGATAGCGCATCGAGAACAACGTATAATTATAAGCCAGCACCAGCCTTTTCCATATCAAAAAAACGTAACTTGTCAATCAGCGGTTACCTCGTTGAACGTATCCTATGACTTGATTAAGCCGTTAACGTTGAGTGAGACCGGGCCTGATTTGTAGCCAAATGAAGCTGCTTACCGAATAGCATCCTATTTACAAGTGACGTCTCCTTTGTGTTCTCCTTAGCACTAGACCGCTAACTACTACGCCAACGTGTGTATCCTTTCATTGGACACCTGCAATTCACTGAACTGTTTCGCAAATTTTTCACTACTTAAACAACGATGTGGATTATCATACGCACGACAAATTATACACCGATTGTACTTTTTTCATCATTTTGTGAGTTTAGTAATAGGTAAAACGAAGTAAATAGAATCAACAATACAACAATACAAAAACTATGAATCGAAATAATTTGCTTTTGCTGCACAAAGGCCTGTTATGTAAGCAAGTCGAGTCTCACCGCATTCTGTTCCGAGCCTGCATACAACACAGTAACCAAAGCCAAACTAGCCATGAACGCCCCTCCTTCAGAGGTCGGGGAAGCACTTTTGACAGATGGTCGCCCGTTTTTGCGGGTTCTCTCACCATATCTCGATTTTGCGGCCTGCCAGGCAGTCTGGCCTGTAAACGGCATGTTCCATTGGTGATGGCGACGTGAACGCACCAGACTTAGCCGCAACCACGAGGTCGGTCACAACTGCACTCTTTGGCAAGACTCAGTAAGAAGTGGAAAATGGGCAGAAAAAGAATACGAAGAAAAGACCTAGAAAAAAGAAGACTCCAGACATCCTGCATGCAATATACCCATTCACCACGCACCACACGTCTTTACAATTCATGCCAGCAAGCTCCACCGCTAGCACAGAGTCAGGCGCGCGCCAAATGCCCTGAGCACCAGCCGACGACTTGGCCTGTTTGGTCGCTCGCTGGCCCATCTGCCCACCCGCCAGACCAACTACCTTTGAGCAACAAGGACCTTCGAGACTCCATGCCTTCTTCCTCATCGCCATCCTGGCTGAGTCAAGTGCCCAACTCTCCAGCTCCCCTGGGGCTGCTGCTGCTGCCGCCGCCCGTGCAGCTATCAGCGGCTCTTCAAGCGAGTTGCCCGCCTTCAAGGAAAGTAACGCGATTTTTGTGTCTGCAGCACGCCGCGGTGTCATAACTCTCGTTCTGTTGACGTTAGTATGTGGCCATGCCACCAACAGAGCCACGAAGCCATTCGCATAGTGCATATACCCTTTATATTGACGCCCAAAATCCCCCGAATTCCTCGGCTCCCAGTTGCACTATTCCGGACGTAGTTTACCGCAAAGGCTGCAAGAAACCGGGTTCTCGGCAAGGGGTCACCTTCAAAGAAGTCACCTGGGGACGGCGCCAATGGGAGAAGCTATTCAAAGACGATAGAGATTGACTGTCTCAGTGAATGAAGCAGTGAACAAGTAGTACAACGCAATCTGCGGATAATCTTACACCCGTGGAAACTACATATAGATGGTAGAAAGCTTATTGGGGTTTGAAACAATCAAATGTGAATTTTTCTTCTTGCAGTATGTCAGACCAGTGACGGCTATATTGGAATATTCGGCGACTGAAATAGGTTCTTACCTGGGAAGGCCATGTTTTAGAAGACCCAATATTGTGATTCTCAAAATGATGACTAAAAGGATGCTATTATTGATGCTTAGATGAACTTAAAAACGTTATCGATAATTATTTTAAAGCTAAAACCAAGCCCTTTTGGTTGGCTATCCAAGTCGCTTCTGAATATCGCAAGCGATACACTTTAAACTAACGAAAACTATCACATATTTATATGATAAGCCACCTTGAAAAATTAAATTGTAGAGTGGTAAATTGAATACTTAGTTGATAGAATCATTTAATTAAGTTTGACCTATGCGAGCCGGTCGGAATTAACAACATCTTCCCTTTAACCGAAGGTCCTCATCACCTGTTCACGGTTGAGTGTAAATAAAAATAATTTCTCTCCACTAATTTACAATCTAATAATAATAATAATGATTTATTATTAGATTGTAAATTATAAACGTTTGGAAGCCAACTATCTACTCGCTGCTTTTTCATGCAATTGTAACAACAGGAAAGGAATAACCGCAAGAAGAACGGGGGCAGGATGCACACCGGGCAACTAACAAGCAATATTAAAGTTAGCAAGTATGATAGTACACTTCCGTGAGAATGGCCAATATCATAATTCAGTGCAACAAACACACCTCGCGCAGTTTTAACTTCAAGACATCGTACTAAAATATTTATCGTATCTTTGAAATGTAAATTTCACACTGCAGAAACACAGGAGCGCTTTAAAGTTCATGTTTTTAAAACATGAACGATACTATGTCTCATTAGTCCGCTTACTGGATTCAATTTTTAGCAATATCACAGGTAAGGCAGGTTCTTTTCGAACAATCTATTTTGCACTAAATCGAAAACATTCGATATTGGCTATAAAACGTATTATTGTCAGTTTTTTTTAAACATCTTGGCCTTCATTCAGTTTCGAGTTCGTATGATTCATTGATGTCGACAATTTTCTTCAAACGCTAAACTGCACAAATGTCAGATAGTTACAGGTGGAGAGGATGCTTTAATAAGTATTGTGCAGTAAAATCTTGGTCAACTAGATAAGCTGTCAGCCAGTATTTGTCGCGGCGCAGAATACAAAACCTTACGTGGTAACTCGGCTAAGGATTAATTCATAATTACATTTTCGAGAGTGTTTATTTGTACATGCGAAACAATGAAGCATGGACGACTATTGGCAAATTTGCTACCAAACTATGAGAAAAACAATTAAACGCTTTTCTCATCACTTTTCCTCTGTGCAGAAAACCGTAGCAGGAGGATGGCAAAGCCCTCTTATTCTACAGATTAGCTCTTTTTCGGAGAAGAACTAATTCGCAACGGTGTGTATATCTGTGTATCGATACCAAACAAAGAGTACGAGCGTCTGCTTCACTAAGCAGCACCAACGAAATCCAGCAATAAAGCTTTATATATAT